AGAGGCAAAAGAAGAATTAGCATCAAGTACTGATGAATATGACAAAATTAATAACAATAAATCTGGGTTACATATTTGAACGAGATTTGCGTAACCGTCAATCAATTTTTTGCGTAACCGCAAATCAAAAATACAATATTATGGCTTAAGTAGAACATATTAGGTGGTTTCCATTTCTCAATTGGCTTTTTATGATCGTACGTAGGTTACATCTCTATACCCCGAGGTTGTTAGGCAATGTAGACCATGCCCTAATGACAAAAATAAACAAATTACTAAATTTTGTGTAGTTTTGAATTTCAAACTCAACAGTTTTTCGCTTATTTCATGTTATCCCCGGGTATCAGTTTGAAAAGAATACGTTCAAAATATACATTACTAAGTGCATCACCGAATGCGATGCCTACAAAAATCGTTCATCCTTTCATTGATACAAAGTAGAAGAAAATAATGCACCAAACTTAGTTTTCTGTTCCATCGCGGCCATTTTATTGGATAAATCAGTGATCGTAGTCGTCTAATCTCGTTTTCAGAGGTGTCGTAACCGTCATGCTATAACACCGTGAATACATAAAGATCTTATTAATACCTTCAGAGTTATGCTGAAAACATATGTAAATATTATCGTGTCGCTATATTGTACCATATAAAAGAAATAAAAGGATTAAAAGAAATGATACATTTTGGAGTATGATACTCCGACGCCGTTTTCAATAGCTTTTACTCTTAGCGTCGTTGAACTTCAAACAGAAGTTAAATTTACCCGCAAATGATATATTCATTGCATTGAGTCAGTAATTTTCTTTGATATAGCAAAACATATGAGTAAAAAATAAATTGTGTGGATTTCCTAGTGTTTCTATGCAAAATAGCACCCTCCGTCACAGCGGACACATTTTCGATACCAGCCTGTGTTTCTATAAAACCAAAAAATCTACTCAAGACATAATCAGAGTTATTTATCCTTGCCGAAAAATTAGAAGTGGAAAGTATGGCTTGCCAATTCAGCAAACTATAATTCATAATCAGACTGAGTTGATGAATATAACAATTTTAGTGTTTGCAGTGATTCAATTAAAGAATTACAAATATGTATTGCATATCTATTATAATATTGTGCACAAATGTAACATACATCAATTAATGTAAATGGATAAATTCCTGGTAAAAAGGACAATGCCAGCAAGGGTAGTGTCAGTCCAGGGGGTCAGTTGAAAGTTGAAGGCCAAAACCAAGGGGTGTTCTGTAGGCCCTGGAGTTTTCGCAGAAGTTATTTTCTTTCAATTACGAGTAATTTTTTGAAAATACTATCATACTAGTAATTTTTCAAAAAAACTTGCCATTCATACTTGTATTGTTTTCCTGAGGATCTAAAACTCTGCTGCTTGAGATAAAACTTTTTAACATTCAATGTCACAGTTCAAATTGAAGATAAAACCTTTTTACATTTAACAACATAGCATATAGCGTGACACAATTAATCACAACTACAAACAACAGCAACTCCACGGAGAAGCAAATCCCACCGAACAAAACCTATTTTGATTATTAGTGGCCATCTTAAATTTCCATCTTGAGCAGAGTTTGTTTGTCCCTAGGCTTCAACATATAAAATGCATACCATATCGGTCAGTTAGCATTTGAGTAATTAAAGATTACATTCCTTTTTGACGAAAAATGGCAGCCATTTTGAAGTTCAGCCTCCATTTTGAAAATCTTTCTCGAAAAGAGCTACTGTGTCCCTAGGCATCAGCATATAAAATTTGAACAAAATCCATTCACTGCTATTTGAGTTATCAAAGATGACATTTTCTTTACGAAAAAATGGTGCCCATTTTAAAATTCAGCTGCCATTTTGAAAATTCGTTGTCAAACAGAGGTACTGTGTCTCTAGGCATCATCATGCTAAATTTGATCCTAATCCATTCACTGCTATTTGAGTTATCAAAGATTATGTTGTTTTATGAAAAATGGCCACCATTTTGATATTTAGCAGCCATTTTGAAATTCTTTTCTTCAGGACTGCTCCTTTGTCCCTATGCATCAGCATATAACACTCGAACCAAATCCTTCAACAAGTATTTGAGTTATCAAAGATTTTGTTTTTTACAAAAAATGGCCGCCATTTTGGTATTTAGTAGCCATTCTAAAAATCTCTTCTTCAGCGTAGCTCCTTCATCGCTAGGCATCAGCATATAAAACTTTAACCAAATCTGTCCACTAGTATTTGAGTTATCAAAAATTATGTTTTTTTATGAAAAATAGTGGCCATTTCGAAATTCAGCTGCCATCTTGAAAATTCTTTTTTGAACAAATCTACTTTTTTCCTAGGCATCATCATATAAAATTTGAACCAAATCCATACACTGGTATTTGAGTTAACAAAGATTATGTTTTTTTACAATCTCTTCTTCAGGGTAGCTCCTTTGTCCCTAGGCATCATCATACAGAATTTGAACCAAATCCGTTCACTGGTATTTGAGTTATCAAAGATTACATTTTTTAAGAAAAATGGCTGCCATTTTGAGCCATTTTGAAAATCTCTTCTTCAGGATAGCTCATTTGTCCCTAGGCATCAGCATATAATATTTGAACCAAATCAGTCAACCAGTATTTGAGTTATTTGAGTTTATTTTAGTTTTTTTATGAAAAATCGCCACCATTTTGATATTTAGCAGCCATTTTGAAAATCTCTTCTTCAGCATAGCTCCTTTGTCCCTGGAAAAATGGCGGCCATTTTTAATTAATAAGTGGCCATATTGAAAATTCCTTCTAGACCAGAGGTTCTACTCCCATAAGGCATAAGCCCATAAAATTTGAATTGAATCTGTCAACCGGTATTTGAGTTATCGCCCACACAAACGGACGGACGGAGGTGTTCCCTTTATCCCTCCGAACTTCGTTTGATGGAATAATAAATTGATTGCCAAGTGTAAAGAGAACTCATTAGCATTTAACTAGTTAACTGTTCTATTGCCAATTTAATGTTAATTCAGGGTAGATTTATCAACAATTACTACAGGGTGTCGCCAAAAACTCCTTCTTCCATTATTGATTTGAACTCATATTTTGCACACTCAGTTAAACCTTGTTCAATGTTCTTTTATTCAACTTATTCAACTTTGATTGGTCTACTTTTTATGGTCAAGACTTTATGGCCATTTTTAATAAAACCATGCTCCAATTGCGGAAAAATCACATGATATGAATCCCCAAACCTTTATTTTTGGAGCCATTTCAAAGAAATTGTCCACATTTACAATTTTAGATGCATGGGCATAGTGAGAGAGGATTTGTGGGCTTCGTGCGAACTCCAATTTGCCTTAAACCCCCTTTCTTTATTAAACAAACACCCAACCGGTAAAAACACCTAGTCAGATCGACTAACAAAACAACTTTTATTGGGGTTGTCGAGTTGGCCGAGAGGGCTTAGGCGCCAGCACGTTCAGGCTAGGCGATTGGGCGCCGTAACCACGAGGTTGCGAGTTCGAGACGCGGTGTGCTCCGTGCGTTTATTCATTTTCTGATAGATCAACAACCCGAAGGCTGGAAACGAACCCCACTCTCAGAAATATATTTTCTGGCAAACAATGAATCACAAACAATGAATCTACACTAGCTATTTGATGAGTGTGCGTACTATATTCTGTAATTTGTTTGGTTTTTTGAAACTATTTCTTTTTTGTGACCAAGTTGGGTGACATCCTCGCCCTTTTCTTAGTAACTAAGTCGCTTGCATTAAGTCCTGTATACACTATAAATAAATTTTCAATCGTTTCAATTGTTGGCAGATTTGACTAAAGTCTTCATAACCATCCATATTATACGTCACCGAATGGAACTAGTTTAAAAGGAAATCTTATCTGTGAATCTTGCCTACAGGCTAGAAAGAGGACATGCTGTCTTTCCAATCCGCCATTTTTTGTTATCGTTACCGCAAAATTTTGCAATCGCCTTGACATAACCGTCATGCTATAACAGCGTGTGTATGCTTTTTTCTTGTATTATGGTGATTTTTGTACTTTGCGTTACAAAGTTTGCATAGTTCAAGTCACATTTCCCATCATCTGTCAATAGAAATCCGAATGATTTCCGTACATTGGAAGTGAATTTGCTCCTGTCAGCATCAATAACTTTGATTTTCACTGACATGGCAGTTTTTTTCTCATTTCCAGCTCTACAGACTGAATAAATAATTACATGTAAATTAAAAAATAAACTGATGTGGAATCGCGAATACGAATACAAACTCGATAATCTCAGACTCGTGAAATAATTCCTGAAATCTGAACTCCTAATCGAGACGAATTCTATAGCACGAGACGAATCGGTGACTTCGTGAGTAATTATCACCACTAATAAGAACCTCAATGTTTGTTCTCTGTTTTCTCAAATATGACAACTAGTGGATATAGAACCTTGTAATAGTGGAGGAAAGATATGTCAACACTTTTTGCCATTTGTTACAGTTAAAGCAATTCTTTTAACTAGGGCAAAGGGGTGTAACGTCGACGTGTTGGGTAAAGTCGACATAAGAGACGGGGCAACTTCGACAACTTATTAGAAGTAGAATTTCTGTTTTCCGCCATGTTTGATTTTTGGAAAAATTAAAATCTCACGAGATCGCGATCCATGCGAGAAAAAAACATGGCTTCCCCTGTTCCCCCTAGATCGGAAGTTAGAGCAACAAGGTGTCGAAGTCAACCCACATGTCGAAGTTTCCCCAAAATGGTGTCGTTGTTACACCCCTTCGGCCTATTAAACTCAGGCAAACTAGACAACAGCAATGCCAAAGCGTGTACATGTAAATGGCAGCCATTTTTCAAAACATTCAAAACATATTGCTATAACAGTTTATTTAATGTACATAAATAACTGTAAAATCGGCACTTAAATAGCCACCATTTTGAAAATTGGCTTTCGAGCATAACTTCTACCCCAATTGGGTATAAGTGTACAAAATATGAAGAAAATTGGGCCAACAGTATTTGAGTTATCACCTGGATGGATGGACTGACAGACTGATGTACTGCTCCTGGTAGAAATCCTACCTGAATTGGATATTTTTGACCATCTTTTGTCCATAACTCCAGACCCCTCCCATCTTTGACTCCAATTCTGCATTCATGATATGCTCCCAAAAGTATAATCCTGAAAGACAATTAATAAAATCTATTTATGTTTGCTTTTGATGCTTTACATTGCTGTAGGTATTTTCATAGAGATTAGTGCAACAGTACAGTTTTCAAAAACTCATCTCAGATAGAAGTAACAATCTAAAATAGTCAAATGTTGCTTAATTTCAATCCTTGATTTAATTTTCAAGGTGAGGTTTAATTTAGGTTGTGGTGGCAGGCTCAAATCAACAGTTCAAGCTTTTTTTTGAAGGGAAGAGTGGGGTCAAACAAAATTTTTCTTTGAAGTCACTTAATACTCATCACATATATTACATATATACATGTAGTTAAAAGGCAGAATCAGATCTAGCAAATATTTTCGTTACTTGGTGCTTCATCTTGACAAAAATTGTCTCAATTTTAGAATGTTTTGGGCTATTATCGTTCCTTGTCATGTCTATTTTCTAAAAAATGTCTTTAATAGCATAAAATGATTTCACGTCAATTTTGTTTAGAGACATGTCAAGCAGATAAGCAGGTCAGTATTACATAACCATGAAATGAATAAGTCTGAAAATACAATTGGTCAGAATGTACTAAAACCTGCTTGAAACTGAAAAACATTGCATGCTCTATTCCACACAATTTGGAAGCTTTTGAAATTCGCAGTAACAATGAATAGAATCTGAACACAAATTCTCGGTAGAAGTTCATGTGATGAAAATAACGAAATAATGAAATGTTACCGTGTGTCTACTTAGCAGTTTGTTCTATGTCATCCATCCTGCTAGGTTACATTGTGGAACGCAGCCAAACACGACAATGAAGGCAACAACATGTCGATGTTGATCTAAGCAGAATTTTTGGAAATTTAGATCGTCCATTTTGCAAACTCACGTGACTGACCCGTGACACGTGTCTGATCACGTGTCTGATCACGTGACTAGTTACTGTATCGATCATGTGACTTAATGACGTGTCACCCAACCATGTCTTCAAGGAAAACAGAAGTAAATATTTTGGAAAATGTTTTCCGAGCATTTGCTACTGATTATAGAAGGCCCAATTACGCAACGAACGAAACTGCTAAATTGTATTTCGTGCCTAACAGGCCCAGTACGCAATGAAAGAAACTGCTAAAAATTGTATTTTTAGTCTGCTTATTAATCTATTGATTCATAAAGACCTGAAATGATGCATTCAAATAAGACCGCCTCCTAAATGAAAACACTACACATAAAGTGGTGAAAAACAACGAACTAAAGTTGAAAGATCGCAACGTTCGCTACTTTGTTCAGTTCCGGAAGTCTCCAAGGGGCTGCAGAAAAAGAAATGGGAAATTTTTACGATTTAGATTTTATAACCTCAGAATACTGCCTTCATCATCGTGTTTGGCTGCGTTCCACAATGTAACCTAGCAGGATGGATGACATAAAACAAACTGCTAAGTAGACACACAGTAACATTTCATTATTTCGTTATTTTCACCACATGAACATCTACCGAGAATTTGTGCTCAGATTCTAAGCAGCCTGTATATAATCATTGCATAGAAAACACTTCATGTAGTGTTTATACATACTGGTTTGATTGGTGTTTCAAATTGATGGTTAAAGTATTTGATTAGATACTGTTCCCACTCAGCCAATTAATTTGAAAAAATGCTTGCGGTAAATTGTTCCACACACATGTAGGCAAATCTTTATCCGGAGATCCAACTGTATACGTTATCATCTATGTAAATATACCGTTTTGTAAGTTCATTGAACTTATACTGATCATGAAAACATTGAAATAATCAACTTGTTTATGTAATGACTCACTTTAAAGAATCATGACTCTCTTTAAAGGATCGTGTTTATAATATACTACAACTACAAGGACACGGAAGCAAGCATTTAATTATAATGTGCATAATCTACACGTGCAGATGACAGTGCATTCATAGTCTCAAGTTGATGGAGCTTTTCTATAACGGGAATAGTTATGTTCCATTAAGTACAATTTAAAATTGATTTTAGTAAATATAATAGTTCGACATGACCCTTTAAACTATACGTATACGTATAAGTTGTACTTTTACTTATGTGCGAAATCTCTCTAATGTCACATTGAATTATGATAATAAGTAAATAACATTTTGTAATATTTTGCACGGGTATAACCATGCACAGTAGAATAATACACAGGGTTACCCTAAATTGTAGAAACATGAAAATGTTTCTAACTTATAATTAATTAATTCATATATCCCAAGGATTTCACCTGTTCCCTTCCTGACCAAACCTTGTTTTATTTTTTATTTTTACAATAAAATAAACTACTCTATCATTTTTATTTCCATTTATTGACATGAGAACTCAAATGATCAATGGGAAAACAATGCTAAACTTGCACACTGAAATAGGTATTCCAGCAGGCCTAGGAAAATATGGCTAGAAAAAGATGCAACACCTAAGGGCTACATTAAAGATAATAGCATGGTATTTATTTCACACTTTGTAGAGTTTCTCTAAAAACGCCCACTGGGCGTTTATTTTGCATTCGATTACATACAATTCTAAAATTCTCAAGCTAATCACCTATAGACCTTAGTTGAAAATTGATCAATAAATCGACTGAATATTAAACTTTAGAGGAGCCTTCCCTTATACCTGTCATTTATATATGACCCATTTAGTTAGCCACCTCGTGGTGAAACTGGGAACTGACTACTGGAATCTTCTGAAGGTTATTAGTCATTACATTTTAATATAACTTATTGACACCTTGCCTCAAAAGAATGAATTAACTCGGGTTTGTGTAAAAAAACCGGGTGACTGCGTAACTGGATTGCCGGGTGGCCAAGTACCCTTCCTTCCTAACAGGGTTAGGAATTCGATTTTTTCATTTTATGCCTCAAAACGCCAAACTGATATCCCAATCAACGTACCAAAGACACAACCAATCAAGCAAACAACCAAACAAGCAACAAAATTTATTTACCAATAAATCAACCGGCAAAACGACTAACAAAATTAATATAATGTCAATCAGTGAGGCAATAAATCAAGCAAATGTTGTATTGTACATCGTACACTAATTAACAGATAAAAACGGCAAATAACGTTTCAATTTACGCGTATGTAAATCTTCCAGATTTGTTTGATATCTACACGCCTAACCATCGCGTAAGCAGGCGTCACTGTACAGCGTCAAAAAATACAGTAGTACAGTTTTCTGTACAGAGACGAAAATTAACTGAGTTGAAGCAAAAACTATCACTAGGGCAGAGCATTTGTACTGAAAGGAGCGTTTTCAGTACAAATATGTACTGAAAAATGTACTAGTTTTGTTTCAGTACAAATTTAAGTATATTTTTGTACTGAAAAATGCACTGAATTTTTTTCAGTATATTTTTCAGTACAAATTCATGTACTGAAAAATATACTAAGTACAAATTTAAGTATAAATATGTACTGAAAAATGTACTGAATTTTAAGGACAAATTTAAGTGCAAAAATATACTGAAAAATGCACTGAAAATTTAAGGAAAATTTAAGTACAAATATATACTGAAAAATGTACTGAAATTTAAGTGCAAAAGTCAGTATAAAAATGTACTGAAAAATATACTGAAATTTAAGGATAATTTTAAGTATAAATATATGCAATGAGAAATATTTGTGCCCAATAATGGAAATAAGAGAAAACTTAAATGTAAGGCATACTTTATAAACTCTAAATCACTCAAAAAGTTCTTAGAATGGTGAAAAGGTGCATGATTTTAAAATAATTTTTGGCTGGGGGGGGGGTTCGCTTGGAGCCCTGAAACCCCCCAACAGGAATGCTTTTACATTATGAAATTATTTTGGATGCTTCCTTTACAGCAGCCTTTAACCAAACTTAAAAGAGTCTCTCTGTAATCAGGTTTGTTTTGCCTTGTCAAAATATTTTGTTTTGTTAGTGGATTAATAAAGTTTCTTTAGACACATCCTTTAAAGCAGACTCTAATCAAACTGGAGAGGCTAGGTTTACTGTAATCAAGTGATTTCCTTTTTAGAAGTTATGTTTATGGATTTATTAAAAACGGCCTAAATCACTCAAAAAAAGTGCATGATCTTAAAATAATTTTTGGCCGGGGGGGGGGGGGGGGGGGGGGTACACTTGGACCCCTGAACCCCCCCCCCCCCCCCCCCCCCAACAGGAATGCTATTATATTATGAAATTATTTTGGATGCTTCCTTTACAGCAGACTTTAACCAAACTTAAAAGAGTCTCTCTGTAATCAGGTTTGTTTTGCCTTGTCAAAATATTTTGTTTTGTTAATGGATTAATAAAGTTTCTTTAGACACATCCTTTAAAGCAGACGCTAATCAAACTGGAGAGGCTAGGTTTACTGTAATCAAGTGTTTTCCTTTTAATAAGTTATGTTTTTGGATTTAATTATTTAAGACGCATCCTGTAATAATATCTGATTGCATTTTCTCCATCAATAAATTTCTTTTTAGCCCGATCAAACCTATCAATTATAATGCATATATAAGGGTTATGTACTGGGAGGTTTTGGATACCCATATTTCCTGAGGGATAAACCCTTTATTTAAAACTGATCGTACATAACATGTGTATTCCATACCTTTTGAGGTTTCTAGATACATTCTACCTTATTCTAAAGTTCTAAAATTCAAAAACATTAAAGGTACACATTTTCTCAGTCTTAAAAATAAGTTTTTCATGAGACTTTCACTCATATTGCTTGAGCAAATTAATTAATTGATATCAAAATTAAAATATACTTGAACATAGAACCTCATTTGTTCGAGTATAGCAAAATCCAGGTAGTTTAGAAAATATATCACCAAGAAAATGCATTTTCTAAGATTTTGGGGCTCCCAGAGGGTAAATTTAAATTATGAATTTCACTTTTAGATTTTTATGAAACAAATTGCCTACATCATTATGTATGTTGTAATATTATACATTAATCAATATGAGGTACTAAAGTATTACTACTACACATTTAATTTTTAAATGTTATTATCGAATTCAAATATAAATCAACTATTTTAACTGAGCCAAGTATTGGATGATTGGAGGCAGTTTTGATCAAATTTGCAAAGGGTTAATTTTATTCTCACCTGTCTCAACAAAACAGGAATATCCAAGAATTCATACAGTCATACTTCTCTTATGTAAACTATATCATTGATTGGCCAAGGGTTCATCTATAATCCTGGGAAATGACCTCTTCTGGACGAAAAGCGTGGGAACATCTGATATGACCAGTTCCCATGACAGTGTGACACCTGTTATTTCTCTGGAATGATATACACTTTCCTCCAAAAGATTGAAAACAATTGTAGTACAGTAAAACCTGTATCTCTGAACACTTGGCTAATCCGAACACATCCCAATTTGAACATTTTTTGGTCCCGTTTTTCCTCCCATTGACTCAAATGTTAAAAAAAACTTGAAATATGAACACCTCCCAATTTGGACAGTGAACAGTCATGTTTGAAAAATTAACCTATCTAATCTGAACACATAAAATATCACATGTTCCATACAAAATTGATCAAATATTTGAAAAAAACTTGAACGATCTCACTCATGGTGGGGCTTTCTAGGATGACTAAATTCATTTGAATCAGATTTTCATGTCACTGTAATGCCATAAAGCTAAGTAGTCAAAAGAACTATAATATTTATTGAGAATTTGTTTCTATTTCTTCAAAATCCCAAATCTTGCAAATGCAAAACCTCAAAATATGAACACCTCCTAATCCGAACGCTCTTAGCTGGTCCCTTGGATTAGACAGGTTTTACTGTAGGTACAATCCCTTCTAAAAGTTACTGAAATCACTGGCTGGGAATTGGTGTTCGCTTACACACAGGTGTTCAATAGAGTATACTCATATGTTCCCTGGGCACAGTATTTCACTAAAGAGATGTTCATTATGACAGTTTTACTGTACTGGGAATTGGTGTTCACTATACACAGGTGTTCAATAGAGTAGACGCATGTGTTCACTGGGCACAGATCTTCACTAAAGAGGTGTTCATTAGGATATTTTTACTGTACTGAAATCACTGGCTGGGACGGAATCGGTGTTCACTATACACAGGTGTTCAATAGAGTAGAGGCATGTCACTGGGCACAGATCTTCACTAAAGAGGTGTTCACTATGACAGTTTTACTGTACTGAAATCAATCACTGGGAATTCACTATATACAAAATTGAAATGTGTGTATCATGCAGAACCTTGCAAAATAATTGACTCGCCCACTTGGTCTCTTGGATCCACTTGCAAAATATATATAACCTAAAATAACTCACGTTAAATGGTGGCCATTTTGAAAATGGCCGCCTTAATAGCCAAAATGTCATAATAGAACAATGTGCCATGCTAAATAAGTAGTCACATATCAAATATGAACAAAATCGCTCCACTACTTTTCAAGTACAGCAAAAATTGTAAAATAGCCTGTAAAAGCAAGGTGGCCATTTTCAAAATTGCCGCCTCCTTGCCAAAATATCATAAAACAGTGTGCCATGCTAATAAGTAGTCACATATTAAATATGAACAAAATCGCTCCACTACTTTTCAAGTTATAGCAAAAATTGTAAAATCGTGTGTAAAAGCCGCCATTTTTCAAGATGGCTGCCATGTGTTTCTTAAATATCTACATGTCTAGCTTAATTAATGTGCTATATAACTTTTTTACTCTAAAACTAATTGCTATTACAGTTTTATATACTGTACCTAAATGACTGTACAATCGTCACTAAAATGGCCGCCATTTTGAAACGAGCAGCCATTTTGAAAATCAGCTATTGAGCAGAACTTCTACTCCCATAGGGTATATGTCTCTACATGCATAAACTACGAAAAAAGCACTTGGTGAAAAATGTGCATACCCTCTGGGAGCCCCAGCATGCATTTTCTTGGTGTTGTATTTTCTAAACTACCATGATGTACCTAGAACCACAGTAGGTATGAAATACATCTGTTATGTACGGTTGGTTTTGGAGGGGACCGAGGGAGATACACATATTTCCCTTGGGATAAACCCTGTATCCAAAACCTCCCAGTACATAACCCTTATATATACAGGGTGTCCAATAAATAAGGTGAAAGATATTGTAACTTTCTTAATATTGCACCAATCTTGATGAAATTTGATGAGTTTGTAGCCCAAACCTTTTTACCTTTATTCTGTGAATTTAAAGCGTCTTCTATTTGATTGGCCAGAGTTGTGGTTGCTATAGCAACCGAAACAACAAAAAGGCGGGTAAGTTTGTATACGTCACAACTTTCCAAAACATATTTATTCTTTGTGATAGCTTTATTCATACTCCCATGTCTTTACTATTACATCTCCAGCTATACACTTCTTATGCCTATTCACCCACTCTCTAAACACACTTTCAAACCCATTCTTGCCCATTTCCTGAAGTCTTGCTAAGATATGTGATCTGAGTTCATCAGTGCTTCCAAATTTACGCATGAGTTCTGCATACAATGTATAAGTAAAATTCATTGGGTGCAAGGTCTGGGGAATATGTGCAAGTAGGGGTAGCCCCAGTGCCCTAATAGTTTCACTAGTGAGCATAGCTGTGTGTGAACTCAGATCACATGAGTTAGTACCCCTGCTCTGAGGTCTATATTACGATTCGAACATGAAAACTCACCAGAATTGCAAAATCGTCAATTTCGTTGTGGATTTCCAATTTTTTCATTTCTACTTCCGGTTGAGCATTTGGCTGTTCCAATTTGTTTACTTACCTCTTGACCCCTGCTTAAGTTTTTTTATTGACATTTCGGCCTATTTTATTGGTTTCACGCATATCTACTACATTGATAATTATTGAAATTAATTCTATATTGCCCAGAATCAAAAAGATCACGGCGGATATCCATATAACTAAGTAATCACTGCGAAAAGAACGGAAAAGAACGGAACAGCCTGATTCCATTGAGTGCACCGAACGAAACACTTAGTATAGAGCCGAGGATTTGATCTCGAATACAACCCAGCTGAAGCATTGACTTTGTTTACAGTTTATAGAAGGCGTGAATACAGTCATGTTCGAATAAACAATAGTTCTGTCAAAAAATGATTAAATTAAATTACATAAGATTCGGAATGAAAGTACCCCGTCCATATTTCATATTTCATATTTGATTAAAAATAATTAGTGCATTGGGCAAATAGAATCCTTTTTATTGCAGTTAATTCAAAACATTCCTATGCTGGCTGTACTACTTCTTCAAAACTTTCAGGCATTGACATCATTGATTTGACTCATTTGCATACAACCAATCAGTGCGCCGGAAATTATCGATTTTCTTTACTTTGTGGAAAGGTGAATAGATCTGATTCTGCCTTTAATACAGTTAGCTTCTTACCAATTGCTGCCTTCCCCCATACTTCAACAATATGAACTTGTTTGCCATTTCTTGCTCCTCTTGAGATAATATCATGTTTCTTAACACTTGGTTGAGTCTGTATAGGACCTGAAGTGGCAATAGTAAACAAACTGGTAAACAAGTAACAAATTCCAACAAACAAAATATTCATGAATCTATTTCACAATTACATGTAATATTTACTGTACCGACACTGGGCATGCATGTCAAGGGAGATGTTAAGTGTAACAAGCCAGATATTAGTACTAGACCTGAAAGGGAGTGTACTAAATGGAATTATTTACCAATTGGAAATATTTTTGCTTGACAATAATCAGATAAAATGCATATTTTCTTGACATATTCTTTCACGCAAAAAAACTGGCGTGACTTCAATTTCTTTAGCAAATGCTGGACAAATACGCAAATTTTATTTTGGAATTACACCTGTCATTTCTAAAATGCCTTTTGTGCACTTTCGTGCGATGTAGATATGGAGAACATCCAGCAGATGTGTACATCTACAATAAATGTACCTTTTTAGCATCTAAGAGAAAACGTAACTGAGACTTTTGCCAGTGATGTGAACTTACTTTCAATTCTAGCAATATTTAGTTGATTAACTTTTGCATTTTTTGGGTCCCATCCATCATTTCCTGTATTTTTGCGGAGGCCCAAATATGTAGCATTCGAAATATGTCTTATTTCGTTTAGGGCATATGGTATAAACCCGGGTAAGGCGTTTTACAAAAACCGATCGGCAATTACACTACACTCCTAAAGCGCCTAACGATTTAAGGCGTTTTTTAATGACTAAGGTTCTAAGAGTTTTGGAAAAGCTCTTTTGTAAAACCGCAATCGTGATTACACCTATTTTTACCTTATGCGCCTTTCTAAAACGCATGGTGTAATTCCAGCAATCATGTCTGATAATTATACAAATGAAAATATGCCCAGTGAAATAAAGAAAATATCATGTGTCAAAATACAAGAAAATATTTCACTTTTGTGATTTGATAACATGGGGTCTATTATATGATTGAGGACCTATCAGACCTAGAAGTCACATTTTCAAAGAAAGTTAAACTTTCAATGTTAATAAACAATTTTTAAGCCATATTTAAATGAAATCATTTCTAGAAATAGAAACAAGGCATTAACATGACAAAATGTCACAACCCAGCTTCATAATATTATTAGCACAAAATCACTTCTAGACAAGTGTTCCTTATTCTATGCGCAAAAATATTTTCAGAGCTTGTCAGCTTAGATAAAAAGAACCCTTTTCATAAATCTGACCTTGAAATTCTGAAAACAAACCATCGCAAGCAATCATCAATTAATGATTGCTTCAACCATTTAGATCAAAAGAAAACCCATCGTGCAACCATTGGTTGTAACCATTAGAATTTCACTATTTGCAATAACATACGATCATCTACAACCATTAATCATTGAAATCTGCAATGGTTGCAATGGTTGCAATGGTCGCATTCAGACATTGAACATTTTTACAATTGCATATAGTTTTAATTCAGTGAAATAACCGTAGAAGTTTGTCTGAAGAAATGTTAATGTTAATTAATGATAAAATGTAATGCAACAAAAATCAAAGTAAAACATAAACGACATGATAAAATAAAAATAAAAAGGAATGAGCCAGGATCATCACAAAAGTGTTAAATCTTATCTTAGACATGTAAAACGCTTGATAATTGACGAAATATAATCAATTGACATACATTTTCAATATGGCGCCCCCCCCCATGTTGCCGGATGTTATTTCCGGTAGTCTTAAATTTGTAAACATGTAGCGAAATGGAATCCTAATTATTTATTATACAGAGATTCAAAAGCTGTTCTCTCATACTACTCTAATTTCTGAGACAATAACTTTTCCACATTTTTTCTCCTCTTAACGACACTACTTGCCTTTCACCTGATTCTTGGGGGGGGGGGTAGGTACGAAAATTTCCAATTAACATGCGTGACATATAGGGGATTCGCGTGACAAATCCGAACAAATTACGTTCGTTTTTTTTTCCGGTTTGGATATGGTGATAGAAAACCGACTAAAGGATAGGTATCGATATGGTGAACTGAAAAAAACAATGTTTTTATCTTAAACCAATTATTGAAAACATTCTGTAAAAAACATGGTCCTTTCTGTAAGGTTGACTGATTGACAACAATTTAATGCCACAATTATTTACAGGGTGACCCAAAAAATGCAACCCTCCATTTCTTCAATATTTTTCTTAAATGGAGGTTAATTGCTCTGAGATTTGGCACACAAGGACTTCATTCAATGTGGGATCCTCTGGCAAAGTTTTAATAGTCATAGTCTTATATTGATAGAGTTATGGTTGTTTTAAAATATGCTCCAGATGTCGTCAATTTCGCTGAAAACAAACTTGCAATGTTCAAGGAAAACTGTTCATGACACAGATACATTCTTCCCCATGGGTATGGCTCAAATTTTTGCAGCCATTGCTTGTTGGAGTTCTGCAATTGCGGTAGGGTTATTTTCATACACATTTATTATTTAAATAATCCCATATATAGAAGTCAGGGGCTAAAAGTGTTCTAGATGATATCAAAGTTTAAGAAAATTTGTATGTCTAGAAACATTTTGAAAATTAGTGCCATTATGGCGGCTTTGTATAAAAAACCTACTACCTCATACCCACCTACCCACGTACGTTGGACAATTTCTTTATCTGGCTGGTTGGACCTATGCTCGCGGTCATCAGTCAATTCTTCCCCTGGGGCGCCCTCAGGTGATTACACATTACAATGCACCCATATGCCTTTATTTATGGATATGTTATCCGTCTAGTCATAAAATAAAGCCGGAATTGTAGAACTAATAATTAGAGCTATTTTGATATTTCAAAAAAGATTAAACCCTTCAATGACTGTATCATGTCCCACGTAGGTGGGTAGGTGGGTATGAGGTAGGAGGTTTTTTATACTAAGCCCATTATGGCGGATCTAGGTGTTTTTTTGCTCTCATTTTTTACCCCATTTCCACAGTTGCCATGGTAACTATTAGGCTTTGGTAACCATGACAACTTGATCGAGAAGGGAATCGGCAAAACAATGGGGGAGTAATACCAGATATGGAATTATTACACCAAAAGTAGTGCGAAAATGGCCTTTTCACAGTTCTCTTTCATTTATATTATCTCAAGGAAATGGGCATACCAGGGCAAAGATCTTTGTACCGCGGTAAAAAAAAGCTGTCTGAAGAGCAGATTTATCTCCGTAGTTATATTTTCAGCATGGCGACCTTGACCTTGAAACAATATAGCCATTTGGGCGATAATAGGTGATTCAAAAAAGAAAATGAGTGTTTTACTTTGACCAAGCCTAGAAACAATCGCGGTGGTAAACCTACCCCAAATTTTTGACATTTTTCTTGTCTAGAAGTGTCCTAGATGATATCAAAGTTTAAGAAAATTTGTATGTCTATAGAAATATTTTATAAATTAGTGCCAATATGGTGGGTTTGGGTGCTTTTTTGCTCGCATTTTACCCCATTTCTATGGTTGCCATGGCAACTATTAGGCTTTGGTAACCATGCCAACTTGATTTTTGAAGGACATCCACCTGATAGTAGTTTGGCCAAGTTTGATGGAATTTCTGCCTGGCTTGATATGCTTGCAGTGAGGTTGATTGTGGCAAGTAGTAAAACGGCAAAACAATGGTGGAGTCATACCATATGCTTTACATCGAACCACGCATGCATATTTTAGGGAGTAAGTATGAATTTGGACCAATTTTTGCAAGTTTGACCAAGAAATCACCTTTAATTTGGTACGAAAGTAACTTTTTTGATCGTATTGGTATGTAAGGATCATATACATGTCACAGTTTGAAGGGTAAATGGAAATATAAACATTCCGGTAAATATTCGGACATTTACCTTTTGGACTTTGTCTATGAATATAAAGGTAGAGTATACCATTGATAGTGCTGACTGTGGTTCTCCCCGAGGAAAATTTTGAAATTTGGTTGTATTTGGAGCAAATTTGCAACCATCTAGTACGCCTGTGCATACCCAGCGTACCGGGCGCTACGCCCATGGTAGCCCTACGCTTATCGTATCCTACCGACCACTTTAGATTGTGGTTGTACGCCCGATTCATTGGTAAGCCTGTCTTTCTACAATGTTGGAGAATGTTGTTAGATCGCCAATTGTATGGGTTTATCGGCAGAACGAAGAGATTTTAGTTTTTACATTGGAAATATGTCAGCAATTTTCAAAATGTCGGAAGGGGAATTCCCCAGGATTTCCCTTATGACTAGTACATGCCGGGAACTGAATGGAGGAATTTGACAGTTGATATAAGTTAAGTATTACACGCAAATAATGCTATCAAAAAACGAAAATATCTTCGTTCTGCCGATAAACCCATACAATTGGCGATCTACAATGCCGATACAAATTAATTGATAAGTTGTATAATTGGCATATTTTCTTGAATTTTTAATTTTAATGTCCCAAACCCCCACAAACTGCAGAAAAGTATATACTGTAAATCATATTTACCAAGATGAGTGTCTCCAAGGCTCCATACCAGCGTATGCATAATGCATTTGTCACGAGTTTGAGCTGAAATTTCGCTAAAATGAAGTAGGCTAAGGGTAGTCTCTGCCAGGTTTGTTAATTGTGGCTAGTTTGTTAGTGCTCAGAAGCAAATAATTCATGTGCGCAAAATAATCAAATAATCTGATTGGTTTAAACTTTGCTGCACATGTGCACAATGTGTGCCATGGTTTTTTCTAGTGATTTCGTTTCGTTTCATGGAGTTTGCGTTTCAGTGTAACTTCTGCAAAAAAGGCGGACCAATGACAGAATTAACAGGTAAAATCACTTCGAAATTTAAAGAGAACGTTTTACCTATAATAGCAAAACTTTTGTTTTACGGAGTGGCTCCAGGACCGACAATTGTCGGTACTGGAGACTGTCCAGGGGTATTTGCTGGGGTACCGACAATTGTCGGCACTCTATCGTCACCTAGTAGTGCCAGATAGAGAACCGACAATTGTCGGTACGCAAGTGGCTGCTACGTGTTTTTGCTAGAGAGCCGACAATTTCATCAATAAATCCACTACATTTACCATTAAATATCCTCATCACTGGTAGTCTAGTGGTTAGCGAGCACGACTCGAACATACTCGGTCCCGAGTTCGAATCCCGGCAGGACCTATTTTTTCTTTTGAGGGGGGGGGCATAGTGCTTCTTTTGCAGTACAGAATCGTACAGGCATTAACTTGTAGTGAGCCATAATTTATTTCGACAAAAATTGATTCAACTTCCATCAAAATTGTCCTACAAGCTTCAATTAAGAAACATTTTAAAGCTCTTTTCTTGTTCTATCTAATGGGTCGATATATACAGTTAGGCCAGTTAGGGGAGGGGATGCTTTCCCGTCGACCTCTACCCTTACTACGCCATGGCACAGGAGAAATATCTCATTTGGAATATATCACTGTTTACTTTGCGTTTGGTAGCTCTCTCATGCGAGATTGAATCGTGGCCATTAACTAAGGGAGCCAAATGCAACTTCCATCAAAAATTGTGCTATAAGATATGAGTACCGTAATCCAACACCAAATTCGAAAATTCATAACAATACTTTGCACATATGGCGTTCGTGACCAACTATGAAACGCTTACCCCCCATAGTGTTATATATCAAAATGCACCTGTCCATATAGGGGTTCGATTGACCTACATCAAATTATAGGGAGTCAGGTTACTTTTTGAGATATCAGCGTCCGTTTATTGTAACTCGCGTTTGCTACCACTTCCTCAATTCTGATATGACGGGCAAACGCGTAGTAAACATGCTCACGTTCGGAACTATTTTGACCTACATCGCTATTTTCGTAATTCAAATGAAAGTTGAACTCCTCTTTATTTTGATACCAAATAGTGGCATACTAGGTACCCTAGAAGCCAACTATGGGTTATTTAGAACGATATCACAGGTTTTTAAATGGACTATATAGGGGTCATACCTTTTGGCGGATGGATATGGAACCTCATACCATACGATAAGCTTCAAATAAAAAACATTCTAGCTATTTTCTTCTATCTAATGGGTAGCAAACGCCCCTTTCTACACCTGATCGGCTCAGGAGAAATATCCTGTCTGTTTAGAATATAAATAGCCGTTTACTCTGCATTAATAGCTCTCTAACGTCTTACTTGTTCATGTTTTTTTATTGGGTTTTCAACGTTTACTACCATTCCCTGTTCCCGGGCTACCATTTTTTGACTGGGTTTGGTAATCCCCGGGTAACCGGGCCTAATGCCCTCCCCGGGTTTTGCACTTGTTCCCAAAATATCCGTATGATATCTGAAATATCCCCCCGCGCATTGCGCATGCGCCAGAAAATTCGAAAATCATTATTTGTCGGTCCTCTAGCGTGTAAACACAGCATATATCCCGTACCGACAATTTATTTGTCGGTCCTCTAGCGTGCCACCGCATCAGAGTCTAGAGTACCGACAATTGTCTGTACTCTAGCCTTTACGTTTGTTTTATTTGTGCATTCTATCTATGAGATAAGAGTCTCAGGGGTGTGTAAGTTAGGCAAATTCATTTTGGTAGGAGCACTCTGTTTAGTTTGAAAACGCGCCCTTTATTATTTTATATCAGCACTGTAACAACAAAAGAATTCTAAAATACTCTGGAATGTATCGAGGTAGGTCATTTAATAGTGCAATACGTAGTTCATTCTCCGACACTGTAGAAAGACAGGCTTACCAATGAATCGGGTGTACGACCACAATCTAAAGGGGTCGTAGGATGCGATAACCCTTCGTAGGCCTAGTATGTATCCAACAGACTGACTAGAAGTCAGTCTGTTATGATATACTACTTTCCTGTGGAAATTGCAGTGAAATTTTTTGCACAAAATTATCAATTAGAGGAACTATTTCTTCAATAAAATAAACATTACAAAATTTCAATTAAATAGTAAGGTACAATTAGCAATAAAAAGTAACACAGCATCTTCAAGTGGATATAAAGCTACTACTTTTTTCAAGGCCCGACTGCGTCGCTAACATGCTAAATATAAGAGTTAGCTGACGTTTGGGAGTCTGACTTACCTTCTAAAGGTTAGAACCCGAATCTTAATGAAACCATATCACCTTTGTTCCGTCTTACTCGAGTCTCTAGCTTACAGCTAGACGAAACTTCATTGATTTCGTATGTACTGTGCTACACGCACCTACACGCACCTAGAACTCATTTTTAATAAATTTTATAAATATTTTTAAGAATATTAATCATATTTAGGATGAAGCGTTGCTTGTCTGGATTTAGATATTTCAAAATTTCATTTCGGAGTTTGACACATGGTGAAATTTTCTCGCTGTAGCTAAAAATGGCTTCCGGTTCTGGACGTGAATAACATTTGAAATTATTCTCGCTTAAAGAAATCAAATATAACAATAGATTCAGACGGGGATGTGAGCTGATGTTCTTCAAATCTATACATAAAGGTATATTTCATATTATTATGCCATATTTACTGTGCGTGTGACACAATGATTTACAATATTTATAATACTAAGGCAGCTCAATCTTCCTCCTCAAAGCCGGAATATAGAGAAGGCTTTGGACCGAAGTAAGTTCCGTCAACCATGGAGCATTTGCCACAACATCCAAGAGGTAAATCATGGATCGAGAAAATGAATGATTTCCTTGTAAGTTCCGGAAGTTTCAATAAGAAAAATTACCGAACATATGTGAAAACCGAATATTTGTTCGTTGTTTTCACGATTTACAGGTTCGTTTGTTCTTCAATGTTTTGGTCTAAATTATAAAGCATCACCAACAGGTCTTACTCTATTAATCGGCTAATACAGCAGACGGCTCATATTTCTACGTAGCATTTCATTCAGACCAATAGTGGGAGTGTAGATCACGCAGTTTCGTTCGTTGCGTACTTCACTTGAAATTAGTAATTTTAAATATTGACTACTTCACTTAGCTTGGCGGATGTAGAACATTGCTTAATATTCTTTTAATTTTCACACCAGACATGCTTGGTTGACACGTCAACAAAGTAAAGTTCAAGGGTCAATGCGTTATTTCGTGATAACTACAACGCCTTCCAGGAAGTCAACATTGATGAAAAATGAAAAAGTCGGAAAAGCATTTACGCTAATTTCTATCAAATGCTATGTTTATGCATCATCATCGACGCAACAAAGGTGATATGGTTCATTAAGATTCGGGTTCTAACCTTTAGAAGGTAAGTCAGACTCCCAAACGTCAGCTAACTCTTATATTTAGCATGTTAGCGACGCAGTCAGGCCTTGAAAAAAGTAGTAGTTGAAGTAAAAACTTGTTTCAACTCACCAAATTTGTTTTCAATCGAATCCCACCCTTCCTGTGGCACTTTGTCTCTCTTTAACATTGCATATAAACAATAAACTGTCACACAGAGATAGATAAAAATGACAAGACATAGACAAATTTTGACTTTAGTTTTTCTTCTCATTTTTCTTTTTGCAGTAAATCATCGAACGATACTTATTTGCAGGAAATTGGCGAACAAAAGCACGCGTCAAGGTCGATGTTCGCTCCACGAACAAAGAAATACAATAAGACCAATAAGGCTAGGCCGCACCTGGAGAGCCTTAAAATTTAAGGCTCTCTAGCCAAAATGCTAAAGAGCCTTAAATTTTAAGGTTCTTTAGCATTTGGGCTAAAGAGCCTTAAAGTTTAAGGCTCTTTAGCATTTTGATAGCCAATTCTGCTAGAGAGCCTTAAGGAATTCCAGGCGACAGAAATGACGCAATATTGCTTCTGGGACAAGATCAAACGATTTTGACATATTCTATACCCAACCTATTTTGTAATTTAACAATCAGCACAAATATACATACCATATTAGCAGATCGGACAAATTCAAAAAGAAAATTTTTTGCTCGATAAAATCACTGATTATTAAACCGGAAGTGACTTCTCTGAGGTCCGCAAAGATGAAGAAGATAACATATAAAGATTTCAGTCATTTCAACTAACTTTGCCGTCGATTTGAATGGTTTTAAATGATCTTCTAATGCTTACTATGACTTCTATTAGTACTGTTTTGACTTCCCCACTTCATAAAAAAACATTATCACTTTTTGCTCGACTCATAAATTTACTTCCAGTCTACCGAGAGAAATAAAAGAACCTTTTCAATCCCCAGTCTAAATCTGGCTTTTTAAAGTTTCAAACATCGATTTTGAAAAGTAAATGTTTGTTAATTGTTTGATGTTCATCATATATCGAAAATATATGTCTCTGGTTCACCAGAGAAGGTGTAAGACCAGGCAATCACGTATAGCCAGAAAAATGTTATTTTTACCATTTTATCCACTATAAATCGCAACGTCCGTTTAGTAAAGATTTTGATGTATATTTATTGATGGATTGGAGGCTAGGATAAAAATGTTGTTGTTGTCTTGCATAAGCCGCTGTTTCCTCGACAGTTCACCTCTTGTACTGTAAATTTTCTTTGTGCTGTCTCATGTGCTTAATAAATTCTGAGGAAGATGCAAAAATATCTCGTCACGTGAAAAATTCTAAAATCAGCATTGAAATCTAATGGGCAATAGATTTGGAAGTGTATTCTCTGATGACCCTGCATTCACGATAAACAGCGTCAAGATGTGCTGATCTAAAATTAACGAGATCCCTTTTCATCCCCAGGTCTTCATCATACTTTTTGCCATCTTAAAATGGGATTCCCTGTATTCTCGTGATAGCAAAGCCGATACAAGTGATTAATTTCATTAAACATTGATGATTGAGCGATGGAGCAAGCCCAAGAATTCTAGAAAAAATTGTGTACTGTACATAATTTCCGGACATCAGAGAACCGGGCGGAGAACAAACTTCCGGCTTGTTATTCAAAATAAAAAGTGCTCCGTCGGGGAATCGAACCCACGCCGCAGAAGTGGAAAGCGGGCACCCTAACCACTATACCAGAGTGTTTTTCCATGATGGATCTAAATTTTTTTACAACTCTATAGTGATATACATGTGTGAAATTTTTAAGTGGCATTCTGAATCATTCTGGGTTGAAAAACTTTCGAGAGTGTTGTTTTATTGTTTAGATGACGAAAACTTCAATAAAAAACAATATAAACACGGATTATAAACACAAAGGCTCTCTAGCCAAAACACTATGTTCACAGCTAAATAGCCTTAAATTTTAAGGCTCTTTAGCATTTTGGCTAAAGAGCCTTAAATTTTAAGGTACTCCAGACACTTCGATAAGGCTATATCATGTATACATGATGGACACATGCAATACTTGATAGTAGCTTTCCCTGTGCCTGCAAGTGCAATTATTGACATCCGGGACCGGGTTTGTGTAAAAAAACGGGTGACCGGGTACTTAACGTTCCTAGCAGGGTTAGGAATTTTTTTATTTATAACGTTGGATCTGGACGATACGTGTACATTATTTTCGACGTCAAGTTTTGAGGATATTTCACATCGTAAGAACGTTTTGACAACGTTAACTTTTAACGTTAAAATAACGTCGGTAATGAACCGATTTAGTGAGAACATATTGACCTCTTTGTAACGTTTCCTTAACTCACAAACATTTTGAAGCCATTTCCACAATGTTGAAATTCAACCATCCATCGACGTTTTGCTGAATATTTAAATAACGTCAGATCAATACGGTCCATGGACGTCATTATCGACGTCACGTTTTGAAGTTATTTTAAATCGAAAAAAAACGATGCCTCGATATGTAAAGAACGAAAATGTGCAACGCTTCTAGGAACTTATATGCTACTTATGAGCAACGTGACATGGACGTCACTGTTTGCTGGATCGATTATTTTAAAAAGTCCTCTGTCTCGTAGGGTAAAAATATCGAACAGCAGTGCACTCGGTAGGCTAAGTCTGTCAAGTCAATTCGCTACTATATATGGGGGGAAATGTGGAACTTAGGAAGTTGGTAACCCTGCTAGGAATGTTAGGTACCCGGTCGACCGGGTACCCGGTCACCCGGTTTTTTACACAAACCCAATCCTTTCGAAAAAGCGCTTCTTGGACTAAGTCATTTTTCGTGAAGAGTAATCTACTTTTATACGTTTGCCTTTTTAAATCACGTTACTTTGCATTTAGAACGTTACTTTATTGGACTTTGACTTGTCTCCATTAAGAATGAATGCTTTTTATCCATATTTTATTCAAAACGCCTTTTTTGCCATTTAAACGTACACTCCCCTCCATAAGTTTGGCAACCTTTTTTCCCCATTGAACTATGTGACTTTATTTCCAATACCTCTAAATTTTCTCAATTTTTTTCCTCAATTACAATAGGTCGGAAATTGATGATAAATTTGATGAATTTTTGAAAATCGTCATTCCCATGTAATCCAATGGGAAATGGAGGGTTCGGGGCAAATCAGAAATCAGGATATCTTTTCAGTAAAAGATTCAGCAAAAAATATTTTTATATAGAAAATTGAATTGTCTAACTTTTTTGAACACTAGGTGTTTAGTTTATTTGATGAATATTAAAGTTACAGCGCTTCAAAGTCATTTTTGAAAATAATTTTTCGCCTCCTGTGTTATTTCAATGGGAGAGTTTTTTTGAAAAACAATTTTGACTTTAAAGCCCTATAACTTTGTTGAACCTGAAGAAACATATCATTTTTTTGTTAAATAAAGTTAGCAAATTCAATTGCCTGCCTAACTTGTATTTTTTGCAAGGACTCGGATGGATGGATATTCTGTCATATGACTTGCGGCAAACCTACCATTTCCCATTGGTTAACATGGGAATGACGATTTTCAAAAAATCATCAAGTTTATCATCAATTTTCGACCTATTGTAATTGAGGAAAAAAATTGAGAAAGTTTTGAGGTATTGGAATTAAAGTCAAATTACGTTTCAATCAATAGTATAAGTATTTTCATCGCAAGTTAAGTAAATAAAAATTCAAAGGTAAAGAGGCTTTAACACGTAGTTCAATGGGGAAAAAAGGTTGCCAAACTTATGGAGGGGAGTGTAACTTTATTTGACTTTAACTTTTCTCCACGAGGAATGCATGGATTTTAATGTAGGTAATTTCAAAACACCTTACTTTACTTTAAAAACGAAACTTTATTGGACTTAAACTTTATCCATGAAGAATGGATGAATTTTTATGTAGGCATTTCCAAAACACGGAACTTTGCCATAAAACGTAACTTTATTGGACTTAAACTTTCTCCGCGAAGTATGAATGAATTTTTATGTAGGCATTTTCAAAACACGTTACTTTGCTTTAAAAACGTAACTTTATTAGACTTTATCTTTATCCACGAAGAATGGATGGGTTTTTATGTAGGCATTTTCAAAACACGTCACTTTGCCATTAAAACGTAACTTTATTGGACTTTAACGTTCTCCACGAAGAATGGATGTATTTTTCTGTAGATGTTTTCGAAACACGTTACTTTGTCATAAAAATGTAACTTTATTGGACTTTAACGTTTCTCCACGAAGAATGGATGAATTTTTATATAGGCATTTTCGAAACACGTTACTTTTCCTTAAAAACGTAACTTTATTGACTTAACGTTTTCCACGAAGAATGAAGGAATGTTTATGGAGGCATTTTCAAAACAAGTTACTTTGCCTTAAAACGTAACTTTATTGGACTTTAATTACATAATTATCCACGAAGAATAGATGAGTTTTTATGTAGGCATTTTCAATAAAGTTTGTGTTCATGTTATTTTAATGTTTATGTTTATGTGATTGAAACGTTGTATAAATAGAACGCAACATATGATTCACACTTGCATGCATGCATTTAATGTCTAGCGTTGTGAAATTCGAACGTGATTAGGAAACCATTTGGGAAATAACTTGGAACTGATACCAGACGCTTAAAACTGATCCGTACCAGCATTCGATCACAGCCGCAATTTCTCAGCGTTGTTCATTGGTCAATCTCAACAGATCACTTTACGTCAGATCACGTGGTTAGATCCCTATGAGCATTCATTATACAAAGGAATTTTCGAAGTTGAAAAATGCCGATACGTAAAAACGAAAAGAACATAGTATATCATAAAATTGCTGTTATCTGCCGCTGTTGTAGACAAAATGAATAAGCAGAGCCCGGTGTGAAAGAAATTATGGTCTCCCAGGGATTATGGTCCCCCCTTTAAAAGGCCCTTACTGGCCCTGATTGTGTATAAGATAATAAGGGAAAGAGCACAAAGAGGTCACCATATAAATCAATGGAGAGTAGGACCATAAATTAATAGGACCTTCTACCCTTTTACACCGGGTTATTATGCCAGCATATGCTCGATCTGGATGATTTTATAAGTGGACAACCACATTGAAATGCCTGGCCGGGTCATTGTATTCAATTTTGAACAAAATACTCAATCGACCGGGCGCCATAGTGAAAATCGGAGCAAATGTGACCAAGGCATTAGAAGTGGAAAAACAATGTATGAGGGAAAAGTACCATTATGGGACTAAACAAAAGTTATAAACTATAACGAGTGTCTAAAAGCATGCAGTGGTTCCAGACGAAGAAAACTTAGGAATAGGTAAAAACACAAACT